CCGCCCGGCCCGGCCGAGAGGCGCAGGGGGCGGAGCCGCGGCCGCTCCGCGCACGTGCTGGGCAGGACATGGGCATAAATAGCGCGGAGCGGGCGCCCAGGGCAGCGCAGAGTCATGTTGTCCGGCCGCAGCGACGGGCCCCGCCGGGGCCGCTCCTTCGACTCTATGAGCCCCTCACACTTCGCGGAGAACCAGCTCAACAACGAGGTAAGGGCCTGCCCTGCTGGGCCACAGGGCTCCTGGGCGGCGTGTGCCCCCTGCCTGCTGGCAGGTAGGTCCCATGGGGTCCCACCTAAGAGCCGTGCCTTGGCTCCATCACCTCCCCTCTCCCAGAGCCCCTGGAGACTCTTGTTGGACACGCAGGGCTGGCAGGGAGCTCAGGAGGGCCCCTCATCCCGCTCCCGCAGGCTGAGCCATCCCAGGCAAGCGTGTGGGACCGTGGCAGCCCCTCTTTTAGCCTCAACTCTGCCCCTGCTTGCAAGATGCTCCCTCTTGATTTCCACTTGTTTTTTGATCCACAGAAAAAAGGGGAGAGCGATTCTTTTGTCACGGAGGGCTCACAGGAGGTCAGAAGGCTTTTGCCTGCTTGCAGTCGCCGGGGTCATCTTGTGCGCCGTGTTTGCACGCCTGACGGCGCTAACCTAATGTTGTGCGGCATCCTCGAAAAGATCTCGAAGCATTGCAGGGGGCCATGGCGCCCTGGCTGAGGGATGCTGCGTCCACTTTTCTCTTCTTGGGATTCAAACTTTTCTGGTCCTGGGGACTGTCAAAGATTTGGATCCCAAGGGTGCAGACAGAGGGACCTGATGCTGAACAATCAGCCCTACAAAGAGGGGACATGAGAGTTGGGTACCCCCCTAGTAGAAGAGGCTGAGAGACTTCTCGCCAAGGGCACAGCTGGTGGGTGTCTGAGATCAAGAGCTGCTGAGTCGGCTGAGAAACAGCTCACTTGGAGTAGTCTAATGCCCTCCTCCTTCCCTCTACCACAGATTGAGAGAGATTACCCTGAGCTAGTCCTGTGCAGGGCAGCAAGGACCTGGAAATATTTGTTCATGCTAATAAAAAAGACAAACCAACAGAAGTCTTCTGGTATCTGAAACCATAGCAAATGCACAAGCTGAGCAGGGAGGGGCTGGGGCTCTGGAGACCTTTTGGAGTAAGCAGTTGGGAAGGCGGGTGAAAGAGATGAGAGGGCTATCTTTGGTGAACCTGCACTGGATTTAAGTTGTGTGAATACCCCCATCCTTGAGATCTGGAGCAGATTAGGAAAGGCAGATGCTTCTTGGTGGCTGGGTGTTAGTTCAGCACTAACACATGCCCTTCACAAATTAGGTCTGAGAAAAGTGGGCAGGTCAGGTGCCATTTACCCCTTTCCCCTACCTTACTGATTCTCCAGCAGGGTGATGGGGCACCCTGAGGTGTCCTGAGATCCTTTCAGGATTGCTTTGTAATGTTAGCACTGTGCTAACACGAGTGACAAAATAAGCCTGGAGACTTCAAATAGGAATCCATTGCATTTAAAGCCATTCTGTCCTGTTGTAGTCTTTCTGAGGTCTTTGCAACAGAAATTGCTCTAGTATTTTTCTGCAGTCAAAAATCAAGTGGAACCTTAAAAGCTGCCACTTTCTGAGGAGTGCTTTGTGTCTATCAAGAGATACCTGGGGTCCAAAAAGATTGAGAACTACTGCTATATCTTAAAAATCATAGAAAGAGCAGAATCTATATCGTGCACCCAGAGTTACAATAGAGCATCTCTTGGAATGGGGTGGCATAGCTAACTGAAGTCAGATATAAATCAGGTTACCTTGTAGGACCAGGCTTATAATCTTTATCTAACTATTAAAAAGATCCCTGAAGTCTATTCATGACCTTGCCAGAATTCAGAAAGAGAGCATGCTTGTGGACATTGTCAGATCTGTTGGCTTTTAGAGCCTTTTCACTTTTTTCCTTTAGGATTAGAAACACTTTTTTTCTTAGGTACAAAGCAGGTCCAATAAGTTTGAGCCAGATTTTCAGTTGTTTGGACTGAAATACCCGCTGACGTTTTACTTCCTAATGGGATTGGAACAAATACCACAGAGACATTAAATAACTCTCCATTTAATCGCTGTCCATTTAATTGTAGCAGTATGATTGTACTGAAGGCATTCTAGAAAGAGGAGCATTTTCTGGGCAATGTGGCTTCTAGTTTCAGATGCAGCCCTATGTATTTTGAATAACTCCATTTGCATCCGTGGATCTTGGAGTGCCTAAAATGTGAAATGTGACCTCTTTTGAATTGTGCTTGTGATTTATGGGTTCTATTCTCTTTTGACGCTGATATATAACCAAGTGTGAAAGATTACTCTTTGTGATTGTTACTTTAGAAGCAGAATGAATGTCAAATCTAAGTATCGCCTTGGACTTTCTTTGAGGCGTGTGAGATGTTTATTATGGAATAATTTTCCCCTCTGTTCCTGGTTGAATCACAGGGTAGATGGATTATATGCACTCTTACTTTCTGTTCTGAAAAGAGAACTTTTTAAATTCAACAAAAACATCAAGCTTTTCCCAAATGCTGTTCCTTTGAAAGGGACTCATGGTTACCAACAAGAAAAGGGGGGGGGAGAATCAGACAAAGGTAAATTAGAGGTACAATTGGAATTAGATTGTGTCTGTTGAATAGTAATACTTTATATTACCTGAAAAAGAATACACTGCATTTGAAAGTTTGTGTAGTTCTGTCTCAAGGATGCAGTTGATTCAATAAAAGATATTACCCAAAAAAAATCCAGTCCTTTTTTTACACTGCTACTTTACTTCTGCCATGTTCTTGCATCAAAGGTTGGCAAAGGTTCTCTTCCATCCTGCATTTTCTTAATTTTTGAGAACATTATTATTGGAAGTCCAATATTGTCTTTGGACTTCCAATAATATTGTCTTCAATATTGGACTTCAATATTGTCTCTACCCTTGCACAGTTATATATCCTGTGTTCTAGGGATTTGTTCACTTGAAGGTTCCAACTTCCCTTCTATTCTCAATTTTGTAAGATAGATACACTTTAGAGATTATACCAGAATAGATGATATGCACTTTTATGTGTTTTCTATGTCTACTGTTTTCTAATTGCTGAAAACATCACTACATAAACTGATGCTAACTTCAGCATTTTCTTAGCTGAATCAATGTGAAATGGGAAGATTTTGCAATGTTGGCTTGGAAGGTTTACGTTTTATACCCAGATGTACATCTTTGTTACATCATTGGTAACTGTGTCAGACCTTTTTAGGCAGTGGTTATGTTTTTAAGGCAATCATTAGCAGTTCATCAGGGCAATCTGTTGTATGAAATACTCTTGCTATCTGACAGCTGTCACCCTTAGAGCATGACATCCCATTCTACATACCCTTAATGCAGAGCCTTCACTAAAGTTTGACCCACTGAATGGAAATAAGGACTTTTGCATTTGAGAGTACCATCATTGTCCATTGGAAGGATCATTAGATTTCCTGTTCTGTCCACTTTATGGGAGGACTCTTCAAATGCTCTTTTCTGAACTATGTCCTTCCTGTGTCTAATCCAAAGACGACTGAAGTCCATTGAAAAAACTCTGTTCAGTGGACTGTGGATTAAAACCTCTGGCCCACTTCCAGCAAAGAATTTAAGACTATGAAAGTCAGCAGGAATTAAGTGGTTTGTTGAATCAGAACCTATGTGACAATATTAATATTGCTATCTATGCAAAATCAACATTCATCCCCTAGTAAAGAATCTTTAGAGATGCTTAGGGGCCTAATCCAGAGCTCAGGCAAGTCAGTGGGAGTATTTTCATTGTCATCAGTGATCAGTCAATGGCATAAGATATAATATCCTCATGCTCCAAACTACTCACTAGTGTATAGAATCCACTTAAGTCCTTTTCTGGCGGGGGGAATCAATACTTAAATAACTGTAAATATTAAATGTAATTCAAATTTTTCATCATGTTATGTCCTGAGTTCTGCAAGCAGAATATGTAGTAAGAGTGCACACCATTTTTTATTTAATTTCATCTGACCTTTTTTTTTATATTTTTGGAAAATTAAATAAGCAAATTTTAAGAGAGATTTTTGATGCATCACTTCCCTGTTTCGTCAGCAGCTCTTTAGGACATAGAAATATTTGGATTTCCAATTTTGAATTTCAGAGGGATTAAAATAGGAAGAATTAATTTTAAAATGAAAAAATTCGTAGTTTCATGAACACACTTCCCCTGTTTTGTTGCAGTTTTATTATCATTATCGTTCCCAATCCCAACTGAGTAGACATCAGCCAGATAGAATAGTTCAATAACAGTTCTTTCATAGCATTATATCCCATGCTACCTGCAGTGGCTTTTACAGATAACAGCCATACCAGGTCTCTAGTCCCTCATGTACCTTTTACATTTCTACACAAGGTTTGAACATAGCTGCCTTGGGAAGCAGAATCTTTTTACCATTACATTTTAAAAATTATTTACATTACTTACCACTTCTAATTGTTTTCATTTCATTTCCACTTATACATATCACCCACAGGCTACAGTTTGGATTTTAAACTCCCATTGATTTCAACAAGATCAGGAGTTTACACCTGGTAGTGCATTCAACAACATGGCCCAGCTTTGCTGCATGTCTCAAGTATTTTTGTTCCTGATCTGGGTGTTTGTTTTTTTTTAAAGCCTGTAGCAAGAAACTGAGGAAACAGACTGGTTTTGTTGGTGCTGATCAGACTAGGGCTAAGTTTATAGTTAACAGGTTTTGTTCAGCACAGTGTTCTGGTTGCGTTAGATTTTTGTCTGCTTCCTTTGTAAGAGTAGTAGCTTATGGTTAAACGGCAAGGATATAAAATCCTGACTTGGACGCAAGAGAGAGTAAATTTCAGGCCTAGCATATGAAGACATAATCCATCTTTCCAGTGGCTTTGGAGTAAGAGCTCTACAACGATCTTTTCAAGTTTTCATTTAACCCTTAAAGAGTATTTCAGGCTAGTTCATGTTACTTCCACTACTCATTTGGGGGTTTTAGAGGCAGTGAAATTAATTATAGAATATAGTTTGATGAAATATACATACTTTATACTGACAAAGAATTTATCATTGACTTCGCACAAGGGTCCAAATGCACATTTTAAACACCTATAGTAAACTCCAATCTCACAAAGTTTTGACATGTTCTTAACTTTATGCATAGTGATTTTGGTGTCAGCTTTATTTTTGTAGTTGTCCAGTCAAAACTTGATACTACCCTATGGCAAAATATAGTATATGAACCTTTCAGGAGACTTTTTCTTTCTGACCTGTTGCCCTTTCAAAAAAAATCTGTCCTTTTTATTTGCATCTAGTTAAATAAGTCAAATTACATGGTGGTTGAAGACAATAAAGAGAACAAAGACAATTCATCTGAAAGAGGTAGAGCAGCCATCATTTTTTCCTTAAAGAATGAAGTTGGAGGACTTGTAAAGGCCCTAAAACTCTTTCAGGTATGTACTCATCACGCTTCTCCAGAAGATTTTTTTTAAAAAAATACATAGAGACTTAGCACATAGCATAATTATATCCTTTATTTAATAGGGACCTAGCCTTTAAATACTGTCTCAACTTGGATCCTATAATTAACCATGTCTACAGAAGTAGGGGCTGGGGTAGAAGACCTTGGATGCTGGGAAGTTCAGCACTTAACCTGGGAGCTTGGGCTTATTTGGTACTGCTTGCTTTGCTTATCCCCTGAAAATCACCTTGATGGTGATGACCATCTTGCAGTAGGAGGGCTGGTTGAATTCTTTTTCTGGACCCGCAAAAAATAATCTTTATCAATTGAAGAGGCTGCATTGTTGCTGTGTGTGCTGAGGAATATCTGACTCTGAATCTTAGCACAATGTCTATATAGGACTTTCAGTGTTTGGGGAGAGTGAGGAGTCATCACAGGGTGGATTACAGCATATAACTGTACTAGTTTTAATCTACTTAGTTTGTATAACAATAGCAGTGTTGACCCCATGGCAGACTTCAGTATAGGCTGTACAAGCCTACTGTGAATGCTAGGTGCGTCTGTGGATTTCTAATCCGTGCATCTTCACTACCATTGTTACCCTAGCTAGCTAGATTAAATGTAGAAGGGTGTATGCCTCTACGTGCCGCAGTTGTACCTCCAGTTGCAGTATGGAGTTTGTGCAATATTGCTTAGAGAACCTTATTTATTCATGTTTGTAGAACCTAGTGAGAAGGACCTTGCTTTCAGATTAAGTTAATGTTACTAATGGAAAACACTTATATTTTAGCATCTCCTTTACTTGAAAAGGAAACAAATGTATGGTGACTTGACTGCCAGTCAGTGATTTACACTGATTCAATTGCTAATCAATTTTCCTGTCTGCTATAACTGACCTGCATATTTTACTCTGTCATTATTCAGTGGAAAGCTTGGCAGAAAAATGGGATTTGATCCGCTTTATTATCACTTTCTCTGTTTGAATAATTTAAATATAGTATATTTCTACTGTATTACCTTTTTAGGTCAAAACAGGAAAAAAATAGCCACTCTTTAATTTTCTATGGTAATTTTCTAGACTGTTTCTATGGCAGTTTTTAAGCAAACTATCTTATCTTTTTTTAATAAAATAAACTGCTATCTATACAACTGACTGACTAAAATGACTTCCTAGAGCTACTGCCAAGCAGCAGAAAATTTGTTTGGCAAACAGCGTAGATTATCTAATCAAGCTGTCTTAAAACATTGTTTCTTATGCATAGGAGAAACACGTGAATCTGGTTCACATAGAGTCTCGAAAGTCAAGGCAAAGAAATTCAGAGTTTGAGATCTTTGTGGACTGTGATAGTAACAGGGAACAGCTGAATGAAATTCTCCACCTCCTGAAATCCCATGTTAATGTTGTGTCTATGAATCCCACAGATGGCTTCACTGTTCAGGAGGATGGTAAGTAAAAAAGGATGTTTTAGAAACATCTTTAATATGTTGGTTTAAAATATTTTTGTCAACCATTTGGGGAATTAGTTTGCTGTACCCCCATTACTTGTTATGCTTTCTGTTGGAGGAGCTCAGGTTGGATGTGCCAGTTTTGTTTCGTTGAAATCAATTGGGCTATGTAGATTTTATCTTAAGTGAGAATATAGTTCCCCATTTCAAATTGGTACAAGTTATCCCTGACTGCACATCACACCCATTCTGATTTTCCTTGTAGAAGGGCTTCCATATTCCCTCCCCCACGTAGAGAGACCCTCTTGTACTCTTTTTCTCATGCTGAAACTTTCACTTCATAAAGTCCTTCTTTTTTTTATCCAGGGGATGCTAATCATTCCCCTTGTTTCCATCTTTTCCTTTTTCCCACTGTGGGAAGTGGAGCCTGGGTTAATACTGAACTTGTGTGGAGAAAAAAAACATCCTTAATTGGGGAAGGAAGATCCACCCAAGAGAATGGTTATATAGCAGTGCAGCATAACAGCCATAGTCTCAGTCTCGTTACAAAAGGTGTGGGTGAAGTAAGAGATTTACAGCTGTTGAGGTCTGGATCAGTGCATGGGCAGTACTTTAAATGTGGGGCTGGGTGTGAGTCAAGGGTATAGAAAGTGGGTCCAAGACCACAAATGTACAGTGTCTGCAGACTTCCACATACAGATATGAAGCATCATTCCAGACCAGGAGCTGGTGTGATGCCTACACAAGGGTCCTTGCATGCAATTCCCTCAGGTAGGAATGCTAATTCTCTGCTGTTCTGCATCTTGGATTTTACTGCCACTGCAGAGCGGGTGCAGAATGCTGACAGTCTAATTTGGGGGAATTTGTACCCACTTTTGCTTTGACTCGGCTTTGCAGAAACAACCACCTGCAAGCAGGGCAACCAGCTCATGGTAATGTCAGAGGGAAAAAAACAGACTTAAAGGCAGCATGGGCTTACTGCACATCAACTTCTCTTACATATGTGCATGCTTGCTCTTACTGCATGGTTTGTAGAAGATGAACCGAGGTAGCTTTGTTTTGCTGGCTTGTAGAATGAGACGCCTCTCCCTTGGGACCTCTAGACATTACTATAGCACAAATAGAAATAATAAAAGCCACACAAAAACCATGTTAGTTCCAGGCCCTTAGTTAACTGTTTCCTTCCCCACTATTTTTAGTGACTCCCTTTTCTCTGAACAGAATGTTTTATTGACACAGGAGGAAGTGATAGATGCTGTGTTGGTGCCAGATAGGCAGTGGGCTCTTTATTCTTTCTTTACTTTATGAAGTTCACTTGCAACTGCCTTAGCTAACTTGTAACTGGTATTTCCTCTTTGAATGCACTTAATTTTATTAATAACTCTGTGGATGTCATGCATTCTTTAGACATGGAGAATATCCCCTGGTTTCCTAAGAAGATCTCAGATTTGGATAAATGTGCAAACCGCGTTCTGATGTATGGGTCTGATTTGGATGCTGACCACCCAGTAAGTAGCTTTTCTACTGTTTGCAACAATAAATGAAAACAGATCGTGGTTTTTCTTTTCTTTTCTTTTCTTTTCTTTCTTCAATAGCTTTGTGGTTTGGGGAATGTAACACCTAAGAACTTCAGCCTGTTGTCTTTGCTCAGGCACAGCTCTCATTGATTTCAATTTCAGTAGATTTTAAGAGGAGTCTGGCTGGAGTAAAATAGCAGGCACAGGCCTGAATAGTCAAGGGGAACGATTTTTTTAAAGTAATTTTCCTCCCTTGTTATTAGCATATTCCCTGCTTGCCACTATAAAAAGAAAAATTACATTGATCTGATTAAGAACAATCAGTTAAATTCTGCAATTAAGAATAATCAGTTAAACAGCAGTGTTGTGTAAGTGATAAGAAAGGAATCCTTGTCTACAGAATATGTGCATAACCCTTGATTTAGCCAATGAGATTGCTGATTGTTGATTTAATTGGGGAATGCATTTATTAAATAATGTTTCACTTAACATTTAGCAGGCTCCTATCTTGACCATCCATTTTCACAGAACATGCTTTCACTTTAATGCTTATATTTCCTGTTTGTGTTTTAAGTGACAAAACTCAACCACTCCTTTTTCTTTATTGAATAGGCTTATTTGTTGCAATGATAGAAAAGTATCCTTTTTTATGCACTTGCAGGGTTTCAAAGACAATGTGTATCGTAAGAGGCGAAAGTATTTTGCAGACCTGGCTATGAAATACAAACAGTAAGTTTATCTCCTTTCAAAATGGGTCTCCTTTTGCTTTGCAATAATGAAATGGATGAAATAACAATAGTTTGTTCTCCAGGCCAGATGCCCAGGTCTCCCTGAGCTGGGTTTGGCACCTTACTGCTCCTTGCCAAATAAAGCACCTTACTGTTCCTTTTGACTCCCAGCTGGACTAAAGGTCAAATCATAACTTAATCACTGCTGGCCAGTAAGGCCAGCTACAGGGTTGACACTGCAATGATTCCACCTTTTAGGAATTAGTGGCATGCAGTACATGTTGGTGACCTCCTGCCTTTGTGCTCACTCTCCCAGCTTCCCCAGACATGTCCTATAACTGAGGGGATGTGGAGCACATGGTGTAAAATTGTAAGCTTCATGGTGACTTTGTGTGGGTAGACATCTGCTGTTGGAATGACGTACAGAAGTGGGAATTAGGAGTTGGTATCTAGCCTGCTGGCTATTAAATATAAATGAAGCAAGAAAATTAGCCATTGCTCTAGTTATTCAAACTAGTCTATTAGATACAGTAGATTAGAAAGGCTGAATGAAAGGGGACTTCTAGTATTTAAGACACTACTGCAGGATCTCCTTGTGTCAGATACAGTTATCCTCTTACCTGTTGCTATAATTTGCCTCTGAATTTACTTTTCATATTGATGTTGCCTATCTGGATTAACAGTCTCCATTGGGAATGACATAAAAATGTTATAAGAACCACAGCAACAGCATATGCTAATCCAATCAACCACCATTGTAGGAAAACAGTATTGTTAAGTCATCATTATATTGACACAGTTTTCCTTGGGAGGCTAATGCTTATCACATTTGTTACTCAGGCCATCTTAGAATCATGATATAGCTTTCCCATTGCATTCAATGGGCTTTGGATCATGCCCTCGTATTAATCCAGCTTAATCAAGAGCCAGAAGGCTAATTAGAAGTGATAGGCAATGTTTAATACATTATGACAGATACTCATCACTCTTGTATCAGAGCATGATTTTCACATGGCAAATGCACATTTAGATGTTTAGAATCATTGTGATTGTGAGCCTAAATAATTCTTTCCTTTTAAAGAACTCAGAAAGGATGATGAACAATTCTCATGCACAGGTTGAGAGCTCTTCTAGGAAAAGTAATGTGTTAGCTCTGTAGAGTGTTTTAATTTTACGTCTAGTGTGCAATGCTAAGCTCCTAAGTAAACTTTTTGCAAGGTAGGGATCTTAAAACCTGACCCAGTTCCCCTAAAGTCAATAGAAAGTCTTGAATAAGAGTTATGTCAAACTGTTAGACTTTTAGCAGAAGTCTCATCTTCCTGGGGTTTATATTATTCCTTTTCACTGGGATCCTAATCATGACTGGACCTCGCAGAAGTATAACTATTGCTAGGCAAATAAGCTATGCATTTCAGAAGACATTCAGTACAGATTAACATACTTGCCTTTTCCCTCTCATTGTAGTGGTGACCCAATTCCCAAGATTGAATTCACTGAGGAGGAGATCAAGACTTGGGGCACTGTTTTCCGAGAGCTTAACAAGCTCTACCCAACCCATGCCTGCAGAGAGTACCTTAAAAACTTACCCTTACTCACCAAGTACTGTGGGTACAGAGAAGACAATATCCCTCAGCTGGAAGATGTATCCCGCTTCCTGAAAGGTAATGTGTTAATTTCTCTGTAATAAGCTATACCAATAGGAAGTATGAGCTTTTGAAAAACCACTAGACATCTACCTCTAAATCTTAAGGCACTGAAATGCCTTTGAACTCCTGGCCTATGATGTATTGAGCAACTGCCACTAAGGGGTAGCTTGATTTCTCTCTCTTTTGGCACTATAAACATGAACATACTTCCATCCAGTATGGACAGCAGTGCATAGGCACTTATTGGGAAAGCAGCCACAGCATAACATAACAACACTCTAAGGAAACTATAGTGCCCTACACATTTTTCTTTTCTAACTAAAGCAAGAACCTGCCCAGCATACCATATAACACTTTTTTTTTTTTTGTGTAACCACTGAGGTCAGTGAGTTATGTGCATAACAAGCAGGGTTGCCAGCTCTAGGTAAATTTACTGACTCATTAAAAAAATATCAGGTTAAAAATGGCTGTCAGTAGAGTCTGTTTAAGAAATATAAAAAGACCAACAAAGAACGAAACTTTATCTGTCAGTAAAACCACTAAGCAGTCATGGCTTGACTGAAATTCCGAGAGACGGAGTATAGCAGTGCCACCAGGTGTTTGAGTGGGAGCACAGTGCCCTGCAGGGAGCATCCTCTCAGCCATGTGCTGCTGCAGCTGTGTCCCAGACTGCCAGTAGTACTGCTGGGTTGCTAGTAGGCTCCTTTGGTGGTCCGTTGCAGAACTATGGGAGCAGGACTGGTGGGGGTAAGACCAGTTGGGTTTGGCATGGTGGTGGGGAGCAGCATGGTGTAGGGTGCAGTTGGGGGCATCAGGGTATGGGGATGAGTAAGGGGGCTCTTGGGGTTGGCGAGGGGAAAGAGGAAACACAGTATAAACCAGTCAAGCAAGGCGGTCAGCTCTAGAACTTTTTTAAGGCAAACTTTTTACTAGTAACCAAACTTTACTTTTTTACCATGGCTAATGTTAAATGCCTAAATCTGAACCCAGCCCTTCTAAGTAGGGCCTGGCAGAAGAGTTACATTTACATTATATAGAACACGTCAATTAAAAAAGTTCGTGTCATTTAAAAAAAAGCTTGCAGATTGTTAGTAAAACAATAAATTCTTGATTTGGCAATACTGGTCACAGGGGCCACATCGAGAGGAGTGCAACAGTGTGGTATGTGGCACTGCAGATGCATTCAATTGTTTTCCACATTGCAAGGGAGCAGTACAGAGGGTTGGGTTTTGTTTGTTTTGTTTTGACCCCTGGATATCCAGGGGTCAAAAAAATGCAGGAAAAAAGGTGGAGCGGTGCACACAGCGGTACTGTGTGTCAGCCAAAGCCGGATCCTGGCTGGCTGGAGCTGTGCTCTGCTGCCAGCCAGGCATCGTGTGGCAGGATTTCCACTGTTGCAGCCCTGGGAGGCCCCCAAATAAGGCTACTGGTGCCACCCCAGTGCTGGCCCCAGCCTTTCCAACCCTACCCAGTGTAACGTGCTATCCACCAGAGCACGTGGCACAGGCATTCCCTGGGGTCAACTAGTGGCAGCACAAGTTGCGGCGCTGCTAGTTGTCCCCGAGGAACCAAATGTCTGGACGTGGCCAGGGAGTATATACAGTCTGAGGAGTGCACATTTTAAAAACGCCATGTTTTACTATGTTTAATAACTATCTGCTCTGAGAAGAAACCACCTATCTAAAAAGCAGGTGCAGTGTACAGTAGATTTTTATTTTACTTGAAGTCTTTAAATCTGGTTATCTTAGATCTTTTGGAGAAATTTGATATTCTTTGTTCGGGAGCTCAGACTAGATGATCAAAATGGGCCTTTCTGGCATTAAAATATACGAATCCATGAATGTGAGTGCTCTGTAGTTCTCCCAGTGCCCTGCTATACTTCAGGTGCTTGCTCCTTTAAGAGAGCAAGCCAACTGCTTGCAGGTGGCAGAGGGGAGCTAATAAGGGGCTCACCTGTGGGAAGGAGGCTCAGGCCAGAGCCTACACTGGTCAGGTAGTCTCTCCCCAGCCACCATGCAGGAAGGAGCTCCAGGTTGCAAGGCAGCTGTGTCCCTGAAGGAAACTGGTTTATATTGAATGACTGCAGGCCGGGGAGTTGAGGCAAATTAGCTGGGTTGAGAGAGAGTGGGTTTTTATAGGCAAGTGGCCTTGGTTTGGTTAACTCCAGAGAGTTGAGGTGCTTACTAGAGGGTCTGAGGGCTCAAGAGGGCCAAGTATGCAGGCCAAGGAAGAGCCCCGGCCGGGAAGATGTGCTTGGGAGGAGATGAAGACAGTTTTCCCTCTTAAAGGGGCTGAGAGCTGTTTCAGCTACTGTTGTGTATCCATTATAGGCCAGGGGCTTATAGTTTTGTTACTGATTACACTTGTGGTTTGGGATGGGGCTGTAAGGGGTGGTTTGGAGGTCTCATTAGTGCCTGTGAGGCATGTGATTGCTTTGAGCTCCTGCCAGGGGCAGGGTCAAGGCCTGAGTTATTGTTGAGCCCAGTGAGGGGCAGTACAAGGCTATTGAGCAGATGGGGGCCAAAGTCCTAGTGCCCGAGAGGGGCACAACAAGACAGAGGCCCGAAGCAGATAGGGGCCAAGGGCCCAGTGCCAGAGGAGTGCAGCTATAGCATGTCAGGAGTCTGGCAGACAGAGGTCAGGGGCCCAGAGACTGAACACAACAGAGGGATGCTAGTGCCTCCAAAGCAAGGTCTGATTCAGTGGGCCTATGTGAACAGGCCTAGCTAGATTAAAAGGGGTGAAGACTGAGGTAGCTGATGCCCCAGAGGGAACAATGATATTGTAATACCTGCAAGGCTGGAGGCATGGTGTAGGGAAGGAAAAGGAGCCATGCAACTTGACCCTAAGGCTACAGGTGCCCTACAAGGGCCTAGTTGAGCCAGGAGAGACTTATTAGGGATTGAGGCTCACTCTGAAGCCTGTTGGTAGCCTCCCTTTATCACTCTTTCTTAGTAAGATTAAGGCATGGTGGACAAGTGAACTAGAGGGAGAGGTCACAGAGTTTGAGCCAGACAGGAGCTGCAGTTCCACAAGGAGGTGTCGCGGCTGCCCCAATGGGTTTGTGACCTGTTACATGAAGACAAAATAAAGCACAGGAGAGAAAGAAGGATCATTGCATAATAGGAACACTGAATATACTGGT